AGGTTTTTGTTTCCCATACCAGGGACATTACTGATGCTCAATTTGTATTACAATTAATGGCCAGCAGAAAGGTCAATAGAATGAGCTTAATGCTTCTCCCTCATAGAGCTGTGATTATCTTAATAGTAAACACTTGCCAAGAAAGCCATCCCTAAAAGTGCAAGTCTCCCCAGATGCGGGAAAACTGTTCTTGTGTCATGATTAACAGCTTCCTAGAAGCAGTGCAGCTAATGCTTAAGCCACTGTAAGTAGCTTCCACATCCCTCTTCCCCACAACTCCATCCACCTCAGAAGAAAGCCTTATCTATTAACATTAGCCCATAACATATGGAGATGCTTCTTGAATCATCCTGTCAAGAGTGGTGGTTTTGGGGTGGTAAATCCCTTCAGCAGTGGTGGCCATGGAGAGGCAACCATCTAAAGACAGCTAGACCCTTAGAAACACCAGCAATAGCCATGAAACATGATTTTCTTAGTCAGAAAGCTGATGGGACAGAGGAAAAACCTACAGCCTTGACCTCAGATCATGACACTGCCCCACCTAAAACCTTTCACTGGTGTTACCCGGAACTGAGGATAAAGTCCATGAATGTCATCATGGCTCTCCAGCTCTGTAGCACCTGGCCTTCCCCACCAGCCTCATTTAACAACATTCTGCTCTTCACTTAGTTTGACCCAGACACTCTGAAACAAGCAACTTCCACTCCTCCCACATGCCATTCCTTTCCCACACACAACAGGACTGCTGAACCTGCTGGTCACCTGTTCCCCCAGGTCACTGCACTGTTAGACATCCAGCCTGAGCTCAGAGAGGTTTCCTTGGCTCCCTCTTCAGAGTGGCCTCCCCCAGTTATGCTCTACTCACCCTGTTGATTCATTTGCAGCACTCCCTACAATCTACAACTATATTATCAAGTTATTTTTTTACTCTATTATCATGCCCCTACCCAAGCCCAGGATCTAAGCACTACGAGAGCAAGGACTGTTTCTGTTTTGCTTCCCACAGATGGTAGCACAGGGTCTGGCAATGAAGAGGAGCTCAGTAAATATTTCAGGAAAGATTAAAAGCACTCTAAGCTGCAACCTGCCTCTATTACTATCTAGCTGTGTAATTTGAGGTGAGTCATTCAACTCATGTGGCCTTTAGTAGCCTCATCTGTAAAATGGGTTTTGATTGGCTAATTAAAGTCCCTTTTATGTACAGTAGGGAGAGATGAGGTGCTACTGAATTAACACCTAATCTTCCAATTATAAGGGGATTTTAAAAATTATAGCTTATGGAAATGAAACAATACTCTGTGGACATTTATAAAAAAATCTGTAGAAAAATATTAAAATGTATGATAATGTTATGTGGAAAAACTATACATCTCTTCTCTCACACACACACACTACACAAAAGGATGGGTATACTGACTACAAATATATAAACATATGGCAACAACTAAATATGAAAAGAGAAAAATGCAATTATGGATGACTTTTTCTTTCAGTGCAAGAATAAAAAAAACAAAAAAACTTCTTGCTACAACATAATTTCAATTAAATAATTAAATGTTTCTAAATAGCATATTAAAAGAAAAGGGCCTTTGAAAGGTCAGAGTCTAAAAGTACTGGAGGCATACAACTGGGAAACAAAACCACCATTTATTAGATATTTTGTATATGTTGGCACTGAGCTATATTAATTAAATATATTAAATGTATTTGTGTTCAATCTTCTACAACATAGGTTTTAAGGTTCATATTAGGTAGAAGAAAAGTTAGGCTGGTTATTTCACCTCTTAAAGTTTTTCCTCAAATGTCACCTTCTTAGCGATACTGTCCCTGACCAACCTATCTAAAACTGCAAACACACCTCTTCTCCTGAATGCCCTTATCCATCTTCCCTGACTTAATATTCTTCATGGCATATATCATCTATACTATAAAACTGACATGCTTATTTCTGGTCTCTAAAATATAAGTTCTAAAACAAAATATAAATTCTACAGGGCAAAGGATTTTTTTTTTTTTTCCTGTTTTGTTCTCTTCTAGACCCCCAGCACCCAGTTAGGACCTGATAGAGTAGATATTAATAAATATTTGGTGAATGAATGAGTGAATAAATGAACAGCTGAATGTACTGGTAAGTTTCTTATAAAGGTGGTTCTGAAAGTCTGTTCAACCTAAAGCCTTCCACCCTTTTATACCAAAGTTACTGAGTACAAATATACAAAGCGTCTTCAAAAAGTTCATGGAAAGGGCCGGCCCCAGGGCTCACTTGGGAGAGTGTGGTGCTGGTAGCGCTGAGGCCACGGGTTCGGATTATATAGGGATGGTCAGTGTGCTCACTGGCTGAGCGTGGTGCCGAGGGTTGCGATCCCCTTACTGATCAAAAAAAAAAAAAAAGTTCATGGAAAGATTCGTATTAACTTTTAATTCTATTTTTCCACAAACTTTTTGAAGTACCCCTCACATACTGCATAGAGATTTAACAGGAAAGAAGATAAAATTAGTAAGACTGGTGGCAGAGAACTAGGGAGTGAGGGTGAGAGAGAACATATGCTTGGAGGAGAATCACATTCTTTAAAAATGTACACAAAATGTGCTTATTATCCTTTGTTGCTGGCTGTCTTTTACTTACTATAAAATATGATGATACAGGGTCTTATGGCTTTGAATGTGGGAGGACAGACAACTACAGCTGAACTGCCTAATGAGCTGAGCCTGATCCAGGGCAGGTTTTCCTCCCAAGGACATCTCCTGAATTCTAAAGCTATATGGTGTAGGAGGCTAAAAAGCTAATCAAGGAACTTCTGAAAAGCAAAGCAAAGATTTCAGCAGCCCCAAGTGTAAGGAGATAGGATTAGAGCTCTGTTCTCACCAGGATGAGGAGACTGGTAAACAGTCCAGATTATTATGTGGAATACCTGGAAGGCTATGTCTTGAGAGTGAAGGCAAACCAGGGAACCTGAACCTCACCAGAACTGTTCCTCTGCCTCATCTCTGAGATGATCACCCTCCATACACACACACACACACACACACACACACACACACACACACACACACACGAGTGTCTTTATTAGTAAACAGGGTAAGACCTATTTGGACAGAGATAACATCATCATCTGAAGCCTTTTATAGCTGTCATACATAACATCAGACATTCAATCAAATTATAGCACGATGAGAGATACAATCAAATAAACAATAGCAAGAGAAAATATCACACAACAGATCCAAAGTTATTACAGATACTGAAATTAATTATTTTAAGTCCTTATAAGCTATGGTTAGTATGTTCAAGAAATAGAGAAAAAGATGGCAAGTATAGATTTTTTTTTAACATGAAAAATTTCACCTGAGAATTATAAAATAAACAATAAAATGGGAAATTCCAGAATAAAAAAATATAATAGCTAAAATTAAGCACTCAATAGATGGGCTTTAGCAGTAGATCAGGCACAGAAAATTTAGAAAACTGGAAGACAGTTAAATAGAATATATCCAATATCTAAGAGTTTAGTGAAAAATAAATAACAATTTTAAGGAAAAGCATTATTGATTTGTATGATAACGATAATAATAACAACAGCCTACTATGTGCTTGCAACTATTCTAGGCACATTATACTCATATTTAATTCCATGAGGTAGGTACTAATCTATTAGTAAACTCTTTTTATATACAATAAAACTGAGACATAGAATTTAGATAATTTTCCAAGATCACACAGCTTTCCAAGATCACACAGGTAGTTTGGTTCCAGAGTCCATGTAATCAGTACACTGCTCTGCAGTAACTAATAAGAGTTAAAGTTTGATTAAGTATTTATATTTCTTACTCTCATTTTGAATTAAATCCCTCTCAGCATATTTAGATAGAATTAGTCATTAGTGACTATGCTATAATAATATAAAAATGACTGTAAATAATTCAAAATTAACTACAAGGTGTGCAATGTTGCTTTCACATTGCACATCTGAGGAAAGCTTAGTTAGCCGGCCAAAAAGGTAAGTCTCAGCAATTATGTGACTCAAAATTCAAGTAAGTTTAGAAGAAAAGAAATATTCTCCAGTGTCAGCCTTGAAAACTCAAACCTATAAAATAATGGCACATATAGCATAAAATTATGGGAGAAAAATATTCATCACAAATAATAGGAAGGAAATGGTAGAAATATCTAAAGAGAGTTAACTTCTTTTTTTTATTTATTTATTTTTATTTTATTTTCTATTTTGTGAGAGTTAACTTATGAAACCCCCATGAGACACAGAAAACATTGGAATACTTCATGTGACGGCTAGTTTAAGGTGGGCTTAGCTCTTACACCCTATGTGGGATTACAATATGACTTTTGAAACTATTCTGGCAAAAATACTTTTCCTTTCTTTTCATCTGTTGAGAAAACCACCAAGAAGGATTCTCTAAGTTTCAATTGCCCTGGCCTTTGATTATCTAGAATAGGAATTATAAAATTAATTTGTACTGAGAAGACATTAAAAATGTCCAGAAAAACTATAAAAGTTACCTTCTGGCATTTTGCCATTAAAAATAAAGTTTACCCAAAACGTTTGAAGTTCAAGAACAACCATTGCATATACTTAGAAGATAAACCAGTTTTCTGTCCTTGAACATCTGGATCTGAAGACTTTTTTAAAGTCTATGTTCCTGGTCTTGATTTTTACCAAACATTTTTAAAGGGACTTCTTATGATACCTGAAAATCTAACGCACTCTGCACAACATTGCTCTGCGTACTACCTCTAAGGTGGCCTAAGGAGTCAAACCTGAATTTTTGGCTTCTGGAACTGACATAAGGCATCCCACACCATTACCAGGCATATCTAAACATCATCTTTCATAATAGTAAGAAGCATCACATTTCCAGAAAACAACTAGGACTAAATTCTGGAAACTTGAGGTTATACCACTAATTTAGTTTCTTCGGCAAGAATTTAGGCAAAGTTCTTCAAACAATAAAAAACTGGTAACATTTCTTAAAATAATGCTTACCTTTGAATACTTTTGCAACTCGGCATCATCTGCAATCTGTGTGTCCAAAGTAGCAACCTAAATTTACAAGAAAAGTATTTCCAATATTTGTAAAAGTATAACTTTATTTCTTCCTAGGTTTTCTGAAAATATTTGCAAAACCTATATATTTATAACTCCATCTGACCTACATCATAGTCTTTTTCCTGTATTTCTGAAATCCATAAGTATAACATATAATGTAATTTCAGAGTACTTTTGCTTTTTTGTTGTTGTTCTTCACATCAATCTTTTTTTCTAAATTGTCCACAAGTTGAACAGAATGTGATGTGCAAACATATATAGTATTTTTAAAATTCCATGATTCCTAAGATTTTAATACAATCCTTCACTATATTGAATCCATAAAATTTTCCTCTTTTGAAAAACCAAGAGTATGGTCATTTTTACTTTCAAATTCAGGCCTTAAAACAAAATTTGAAAGGTCAATAAAGTCAGACGAATTTGGAAAACTGAAGCATCTGACTTTCCACAACAAGCTCAAACCATTTCCCCAGGAGAAATAGCTGGCATAGACACAAACAGAAAGACCTTGTCCCTGCTGGGAAGTTCATGGAAGACTTAAAGCTTTTAATCCTGGCCTAAAACTAATGTTCTGAGCTTCAATAGTGGACATCCACAGAAGTGAATTCCTTGCAAGCAAAAGTACTCTACTGATGATTTGCATCTGTAAGTTGTTAATAAAATATGATGCATCTGGAGGGAGGGGATAAGTTAAACAATGATCCAACTAAAGTCTCTAAAAGTACCACATTTCAGATGAGAAGATCCTGGAAGAAAGTAAAATAGGAAACATTGGAGTAAATGCATTCATTCATTCATCCATCTTGCTTGGCTTCTCCTTTCTGCCCCTCATTCCTCAGAAAACAAGCTACAAATTTTAATGAATAAGCTGTGACATTAAATTGCCTACTCCAAGGGGCTGGCCCACTGGCTCAGTTGATTAGAGCGGGGTGTTGTAATACCAAGGTCAAGGGTTTGGATCCCCACACAGGCCAGCCTCCAAAAACAAAAACAAAAAAAGAAACCAAATTCCAACTCCAAATTCTGTCTCCTCCTTCTAGGCCCTCTGGTATGACCTCACCATGTGATAAATGAAATTTGAAAGAGTGGTTAGAAGGAGGATAAAATCTTAATAAAAAAGAGCCGATCACAAAACTAGCCATTTGTAAATGTCAGTATACCAAATTACTTTGAATATCAAACCACTAGGGACAATAGAAAACGTCATTTGCTAGGTGATATCCTAATGACAGTATTCAAAATCTATGAAGTAGAGAAGCAGCAGTTCTTAAGAACTGACATACAAGCACAAAATTAGCAAGAAGAGAAAGAATGAAATTTTTGAGTCATCTTAATGACATTGGAAATTTTCTAACAATACATAATGGCTGAATAATCTAAACCAAGATGAGAAAAAAAAATCCCCAAGTACTAATGATAAACATATGTAAGAAAATGTGAATGACAATAGAAATTTAAAAGAATATTTTATTACTAATGCATTTGGTGAACACTGTAGAGGCTTTTCTAAGCACAGCTTTCTGCTTTCATGTGGATTCATATGGGGAAATGTAATCAATCCCTTATTCAAGGGATCTAATAACAGGTGAAAGGAAGTCTAATGGATCACTGGCACTATAAACTTATACCTAACCTAAATTACTTCCTGTTCTTCCAAATACATTTGATAATCATTCTTTCATTTTTCTCATAAAACTGTAAGATTCTTTGTGAAACATAGGACTAATATCCACAGCCCTTTCAGTGTACAATAAAACAAACAGATCATAAAAGCAATCATAAAGACGCCAGCAATTTTAAGCAGCTGATATAGGTTATAAATTTAAAGGCAAGCCCTCTCTCTAACATTTTTCTGCCTATTGTTGACTTAAATGGTTTGAACATGAACTGAGTGTCTGGTAATTGTAACTGAAGCTTGTGTGCAGTCCTTAATTGTTCTTATAGTTTAAAATGCTAAAAAAATAAAAATAAATAAATAAATAAATTGATTGATTGATCCAATAGGGAAGAAAGGCAAGAAGGAAAAAATAAAGGCAGGCTTGCTATTCTTTGACTTTCCCATTTCTTTAAATTGTAGTGCTAGGAACTTGACATGAAATGAGACCTGTGTTTTTTATTAGAGAGTTTTCACATACCATTACTTCATAATCAGGGCCCAATAGGTTTTCCCATCTGGATTTCAGCTCATTTTCTGGAGAGTCTGGGACTCTTTCTGGATATTAAAAAAAAAAAAAAAAGAATGTTGAAGCTACTGTGAGCCTACTAAATTCTTTAATAACAGCACAGTTTCAGTAAGTAAAGGGGAAATGAATAAAAAGGAAAATGGATTAACTCAGGTCTACCAGGTAAAGTAAATCAGAGGTGACTTATAAGACTAATGTAAAATGTAAAGACCAGCTGTGACCAAATTATGAAGGGGCTTTTGTTGTTAAGGAATATTTTCAAGGGAAGAGGAAATGATGAGTTATAACTGCAATTTGAATTATATACAGTTTATATGTAAACATCCTATAGTTTACAAGTAAAATGCATCTGACTTTGCTTTATAATATATTAGGGCATACAAGGATCTAATTTAAATGTTAATCACTTCAAAGTAGTACCATTCCACCTACCCACTGGAAAACTAAAAACTTATCAAGATATCTTTACTATCAACAAGGCATATCAACACAATACAATCAGACTTTTCACATGGGGGATATAAAGGCTTCTGGTTTAACTCAACCTGAGTTGCAAGAGCTTTAATATAACAGAACCTTTGGTTTTACAACAGTCTTTTGTTGCTACTTGGTTATTAGGATATTTATATTTTTATGACTTTCTTACTTGAGTGTAATATTGCCTTTGCTGCATAGTTGAGATAATATTAAAGAGCTAAGACAGATTTTAAGTGTTTTGCCTGTCTTCCATATGATCTTAGCCAGAAGCTCAGTGCACAGTCCATAGTCTGAATAATGTCTAATCGGTAAAAGTCAAAGTACTAAAACTATAATTTCAACTTACTTCCACAGTAGCAGAAAACGAATGTATTTCCACCTTTTTTCTTTAAGCTAAAGAAAAACTTTCTCAATTTTGTCATCAGACAAGTCACAGAACACTTATCACAACTAACGTAACCATCTGCCTAAAATCAAAACTAACTTGCAATATCAGCTCTTTTAGTCTTCAGCACAGATAGCTCATCTTGGATGCGTTTAATGCTTAATTGTATAATACAAATCATTAAGTAAAACAGGCTAACCTCAGAAATCAGAGACTAAGACTAATGAACACTAAAGAATTTAAATTACTAGATTTACAAAAGAATATCCATGAAATAACTATATTAACTGATATGCTAGATTACAGTTAGGGGATAACTAACCAAAGATCCTGTTAAAAACACTCATTTGGGCTCTGCACCTTTGTGCCTATTCCTATTAACATTTCCTTAGGAAATTACATTAAGAGTTCTAACATCTTGCCTGTTAAATTTCTTCCAGGCAAGAGAAGGAATGTAAAGGAATCTGAACAAAATTTGCAATGTGTTGGTTGAACTCTATGCTTAAAAACATGGTACTCAGTCATACACACGTATAAAATGATGTTGACATTTCACTAACAGTTCTTTTGACTATATTTTTAACTTTCAGTTGTACAATTTTAAAGCACAGCACAAAAGCCTAAGTGCCAGAGGAAAGAGATTAATTTACTTGTAGCAGCTCAATTAGTGCTAGACTACCCAGAATGATAAAAAGAAAAGAAAAAAAAAA